AGAACGCCAATGGTTACCTGACGTCACACCTATTTTTGCCATATGAAACACCCTCTCGCTCCTCATACGGAAAGTATCAGGTAAAAATCGACAAGCAATATGTGGCAGCCTGTCTATTGACCTGAAGTCCCACAAAAACTAATGATGTAACACCCGTTGAAAAATGGATGTGCAGAAAACCAGATCTATTAAACTTGAGTATTTGGATCCACAGCTTAGGCTAAAATCTTAGGGCACATTAAAAAGCATGATGCAAGAAGTCAAAAATTCATATTTTTGGGTTATTCGTTAAATGGTTCTCGTGTATGGGACGAAGAACCAGGAAATATTAAAATGTACAAAGAAGTAATTTTCAAAGACCCGGAGAAGAAAATTGGAGAACAAAAAGTAAGGTTAAAATGTATAGAAGAAGAAGAACAAGAAATTGTAATAAAAGAGCCCTCAGAACATCCATTACAAAAAGTGAACGAGACAGAAGACACAGTTTTACCATTGGGAGAAGGACAAGAAGAAGAACAAAGAGTAGAGAGACAAAATGAAGAAACCAGAAGTGGAAGGAAAATAAAAATACCAAGGAAATTATTAGACTACAATCTTAACAATGATGATGTTTATGGAGAATGTGCAATGATAAGCTATAAAGAAATCCTAAATAGTACAGATAAAGACGATTGGAAGGGAGCAATTGAAGATGAAAAGAAACAAAAGACCAACACTTGGACATTAGTAGACAGAAACTAAGCAGAAATCAGGAAATCACTAACAAGCAAGTTGATATTTCGAATTAAGGATGATGGAAAGAGCTCGTAGTTCGTGGTTTCCAAGGACACAGTTAGTCCTGCGTGCAATATGAGTTCGATAAGAATAATTTTAGCTTTGACACTGAAAAAGGATTTTAAGATCTCTAAATTTAACATAAAACGGGATTTTTATATGGCAACCTTGAAGAGGAGATTTACGTCATGGAGGTACCCGATTTTTACAAGGAGAAAGGAAATAAAAATAACATTTGCTCACTTAACAAGGCACTCTATGGATTGAAACAAGCTCCATTGTGATGGAATGAAAGGTTAAGTACTTTTTTGAGAGACAGAGTAGTTTAATATCTCTCTATCTCTGAAAAGTGAGGAATGTTTATTCAAAAATGAGTCAAGTAGGTACTTTATTTTTGGCCATACATGTAGATGATTGTATTTTGGTAAGCAGTGATGAGAAAGAAACAGACAAACTATTGAAAAAGCTGGAAGAATAATTTGAGTTCACAGTCACTAAATATCCTTTTTGGGTATAGAGATAAACACGGAAGATAATCATATTGGACTCAAACAGAGAAAGTACGTGAAAACAGTTTTAGAAAGATTTAACATGGAAAATGCCAAAAAAGCATTTACACCAATACACTATAACCCGAAGAGTGAAGAAAACCAAACTTTGACTAAAAATTTTCCATATAGAGAAGCAATTGGCAGTTTACTTTACTTAACTGATAAAACTAGACCTGATTGCTCAGTTCCAGTAAACTACTGCAGCAGGAAAATGGAAAATCCTACAGATCAAGATGTGACAAATTAAAAGAAAATAATGCGTTATCTATCATCGACACAGCAAGAAGGAATTTGTTATAAAAAAGATAGCAGTGAAGACAGACTGATTGCTTATAGTGACTCGGATTTTGCAGGAGATATTTCAACTCGAAAAAGTACCACAGGGTATGTAATAATGTTTTGTGGAGGTCCAATCAGTTGGTGTTCGAGGAGACAGCCTATAGTATCTCTATCAACAACTGAGGCAGAACATATTGCTGCTGCCGAGTGTGTTAAGGACGTAATGTATCTAAAAGCTGTAATTGATGAACTGACAAATGGAGACATAAAACTCGAATTAAATGTGGACAATCAAAGTTCTACTAAGTTAATGAAAAGTGGACAGTTTAATAAAAGGAGCGAGCATATTGACGTAAGATATTACTTTATCAAAGAAAAGGTACAAGAAGGACCAATAGACTTAAAATATTGTGAAATTTGATAGTCATTGTTCTGTCAGAAATTTAGAAAGAAGTTTTGATCTAATTATGTATAGCAAATGGCAGTTGACGTTTGAAAAATGTTGTCAGATGGCCGATGAGCAATAAAGCACAAGTTTTTAGTTTAAACAATTTGTTTTTATCAAAAAGTAAAGGTAATAAGTAAAAAGTAAAAGTAAAATTCAACAATGCCAAGGATATGGAGATGATGGCGGTGAGAATGAATGTAACCGTTGACAATGTCTTCTGTCTTCACTATGAATATTTTATAATCCACCAGTCAAATCAATCCTAATCAGATATCAACTTCTCCTTTCGAAAAGCACAGTAGTAGTAATAGATATAGAGCAATCTTAGGGAAGGAAAAAAATCGACAAAGCTAAACGTGAATTTTCAAGTACATAAGTCTATCAAGGGCATATCAGGCCTAGGCATAATTATAAAACTAAATAAGGAAACTCAGACAGAAGAAGCAGAGAGGAGAAGGTTGGCTTACCGGGCATTAGTCGGAAAGCTGTCGTAGATACCACCAATATCTGACAAGAGTCTTCAATCTAGTAGACCGGCATATGAACAGGTAGGTAGTAACTAACACTCACCCTAATTTATATGAAATCCCCTAATATTTTCGCTGAAAAATTTTTTGCTAAAAAATTAGTTGTTGGGAATCAAGATACATATTCTTTAATCCATTTTTATTGGAAAAATCATTTAAAATCCATGAACCTCATTTTATTATAGTATGAATTAATTGAAAAGTCAATTTTACGAATATGCTCGATTCCATATAAGTTTTGGTGAGTGTATGTATATCTGCACAACCAGCAAGAGGGGAAGAGGAAGATCACAAATGCGCTGGTCAGATGATTTAAATAATTTGAATATACAGAATCATAAAGGAATATAGGAGAAGCCTATGTTCATAGGTGGCTGTTCGGATCTCATTTGATAGAAATAGATATATGGTGACCACAACCCATCTTACCAAATGGCAGAACGATTTTCTTCCCGAAATATACAGATTAGTGAGTAGTTTGACCTCTATCGTATGTCGACTTGTATTAGACTTCTAACATACCATTCCAATAAATATATCATTCCTTCATCCCGAGGATGCATGTTTTCGTACAAATCCCTGATGACATCATCCCAAACAGTATTCTTTCGTCGTAAAATACTCTAGCAACCTGTAAGAAGACGGTACTAGTTGCTTCTTTGTTTCAATAATAATGAATGCCTGAATGGCAGTCAATAAATGAATGATATTTATAAAACCACAAACCACCTACAAGTTGTTAAGCTACCATTAACTCTTAATACTTATCAGATGGTCTGTTAAGCTCCCCAATTAAAACCAGTAGCAGATCACGACATCAACCAACAATATAATCGTTAAAATATAGCCAAGATAAATCAAATGGAACCGGTCTTCGGCGCTGAAATAAGTACCCACATAAATAGATAAATACCTAGATAGAAACATCCTCCGGAGTCGATCGTCGATCGTACTATTGAAGTAGTTTAATGCACTGCACGTAGGACTTCACCGGAAATCGATGACCACTTATGTAAGCGTATAAATCTGCTACACGCAGCATATGGCGGCCTTTAGCCATTTACGGTTCATTGGCAACATTAGAGGCATCGCGATAAAATTTAAAAATCGCCATGTCTTTTTTATTTATTATGTTTGTTGCTTTGGTGCGTACAAGACCTGGTGTACCCATACCCATATGTTTGGTTATTTATGGATGATTTTGTAACGTTATTTTGCCAGATACTGTTATTTAAAAGTTACCTAATCTAACGTAACATTCCCAAGCTTTTATGAGCATTTGAGCTTAGTTGTGGTAGAAAAAAACTTGGCATGTTTGGACATTTTCGATTTTTACGATTCTTGTACTGTACCTTTATGGTTTCTATATCCTATACACTTTACAACAGATTTTCTAGCTTTGGAGTAAAATAAAACGATACCATACTGAATGAGATAAAGTCGAATGCAAGTAGGTTATGTACATGTTATTCAAGAATTGGATAATTACGGATATTGATCGATAGCGCCAGACTTGTCAGAACTGTCTTAAAATTGGGTTGTATTGTGGCATGCGTAAAAAAAGAGTAAATGATGCACAACTAGGTACTGTGGCCTAATGAAGAGCCAGGTTAAGAATGGGAAAAATACCAATTGTCGACTTACTGAAGACAAACTCCAGAACTGAGAAAGGCAAACAGGTTCATCACCACATTACAAAAAAGAACATCGAGAGGATATTGGCAACATCCCAAGAAGTGGGCCCCCGAGAAAATAGCCTCCTTCGAAAGAAGCTTCAAACCCTTGACTCTTCAACTGTACCTACCAATATAATAATTTCAAATATTCCTGGTAAAGTACATGATACGGTTATAGAATCATTCCAGATAACTTCGAAATAAGTTTACTTATATTGAGAAGACTTCAGCATAGATCCAGATAAAAATACCCACAAAACTTCATAAGAAAGAAAGCTCGCGGGTCATTCACTTTGTAATATCTCCTGTTGCGTTACGAATTTATTTAGCACCTAACGTTGGACAATGATAATTAATTAAAAGCTATTTATAAACCAGCAGCGGTTACACTGCGTCGACTTTGCCACATGCTGTAACCATATTGCACCAAGCCAAGACGATTTTCGGACTCTTCGCGGCATATCAACAACGCACTAGGAAAGTTCTTTTTAATTGAGGATGTATGAGTTGTAGTAACGCTAGCCGTGTGTAATTTATAATTAAGTTTGTTTCATGTGGCGAAATCTAATAGGGAAACGATATTGTTATTTGGTGTGTTAACATTTATAATGGTGTGTTTCAACGAAGGATAAAAACCCTTGTTAAAAATAAATCATTCTTAAGTCAAACTGCGTTTCAAGTCGCCTCGGCTCGTTGTGAACCACAAATTCAACTTTAACGACACAAAAACAACAAATGACCATACCTTCTCGTGCTGTGGGTTAAGATGGGCAGATTCTCTTGAACGAGCACAAAAGTGGCCACTGTGGTTTCGTTAACCTGACTGCCGCATTCTGTGTGGTTAATCCTCAAAGTGTACGTGTCTCTGGCACTATTGGGTTCGCCATCGATCGCGCACCGTTCACCGTCCGCAGCCTCCACGGCGATCCTGCCGCCAAAGAATGGTCCTGTTGACACTTCTATTTCGCTGGCGTGCGGTAGACATTGCGTTGCTTTTGCGGAAACTGAAAGTAAATAAAAAATTTGCTTATTTATTTAGGTCATTAGGAACGACATGGTAATGGTTTAGGTAAATTGGTTATCTTGTTTCTACCAACAATTTTGTGCGTGGCTTTGGCTTTTAACATTAACCCCTGATATGACATAAATATTTCGAGTTCTGCATTATTTATTATACGTCCTAAGATTGTTCTGCAACATTCTGCTACAATACAATAAAATACTATGATCATCATTTATATACAAACATTAACTGTAGTTTTCTTTCACATAACCTACCACCAATCTTCTGAAATCTCAAATATTATTAATAGATTTAATATATAATGGAATCTTATTATATACCACTAAACCACTATAAAATAATGAGTTCTGCGTACCTGTCTTCTTAACAGTGGAAACATATAAATTTGATGAGGACCTAGTATCATGATAGTGAACTTTAATTTAACCATGTTATAGGCATATAGCTAGGTAGCAATCCATGGATAATCTCAAAAATAAATAATGTGTTTAACAAAACTGTATAAATTGACAAAAATTGCAAGGTCTCCAGCATATGAGAAATTTTCTGTATAACGATCTACTCTCAATATAATCCTCATAGCTTTATATTGAAGTATTTGTAGCCTATCTTTTTCTCTTTGATTAACAAATTACACTATAGTAGGACAATACTCAAAATGTGGATGAATTATTGTATCTTATACAGTAATACGTGACTGCAGTGACAACGAATAACAAATTCTTCTAAAACGTAGCCATTAAATTTACCAACTGGTCTTTTTGTAGAGACGCTTTTGCCATGTCAATGTTCAGGTCACCAATCACATAAACCTGTTTATTCTTAATCGAAATTCCTTCAAGAAATTCATCCATAGGTGCAAAAAAGTCAGCTGCTTTAGAATTCGCTGATCTATACACTCCCACAAAGATGTTCTATTCAATCTCAAACCAACAAAGACACACAATTCCCTCAATGCATAAAGAAGTCCCACTGTTAGCAATACATTTAGGTATTATGTACAAAACAAACAACGGAGCCAGTATGTCTGGTACTTGAATCACATCTAATACAAGAAGAGTTAGCAATATCTATCTCGTGCGAAACTACGTCCTCTGTGAAACGAGCCTCTGTCAGTATGGCAATAGTAAAGCAATATATTCTTGTATCTACTATGTATTCTTTCACTTCATCGAGCTTGTTTAAAAGACTCTGTACATTCAGACGTTCAATTCCTAATTGCTAATGTTCTCAGAGATTATTACATATGTAGTTAATGTTATTCTTACCTGACTCTTCTACTTTCAACAAACACTTACAGGCACGATCCCATACAGCATGCTCTACATTTAAAGCTAGCTGATATTTAGAGTTTGCTCTTACACAATTGATGCATTTATATTTTCTCTCTTGGCAACAGTTTTTATCATGATAGCCACTGACGCCACTACATCTTGGGTATGTTTTTTTTTTCAGTACAATCCTTTGCCATTTGGTTGAACCCATGACACTTATAACACCTCACTATTCCAATAAATTCATACACCCTACACCTATACAGGTTAAGAAATATGTATTCCGTTTATTTTTAAAAGCATTTCTTAAGTTTTTATATCTACCTCAGGCATTATACTGGACATTTTCTTAAGGTTTTCAGAGACATTCAATATATTGAAAAGCTGGGTATCAATTTTGTTTTGCTGGGTATCAATTTTGCTGGGTATCAATTTTGTTTTGCTGTATAATTTTTGACTTTAGAAGCTCTTTATCTCTGGGTAAGGACTCTGGTATGCCAAAAATTTTAATTCTTGGGTTTGTTTCCTTTCATAATCTGTTCCCAAGTTCAGTTCCACTTCTTCCTAATATCTTCTACACTTGCATTGTTCTCATACTCCAAAATGCATCCTCCCTTCTTGATATTCCTGCCTATTTGCCCTTTGAATTCGATAGCTTTAATATCAATATTATTAACCAAGTCGCTTCTGATTTCTTCTGCGCTCTTATTTTTGTTTGTCTTCACAATTAATATCTCTTTTCGCTCCTTGGCTTTACATTTTCCACCATACAACTCTCTTTGCAGACAGACATCCATGAGTCTCCACTGATAACTTCTATAACTCATTCTTCTCCCTTTTTAACTGATCAATTTAATTTTTCAGATTATTGATTATTTCACTTCTATCTTCGATTATTACCTACATCCTTACTTGATATAACCTCTCTTAAAAGTTTATGTGTTTTTTCCGCCACACAAGCTGAACAATGGAAAAAGATTTTACGACCTCCTGCCAGTTGCAGCACCTTAACTTTAGAGGCCGTGAGGCCCCCACAGTTCTTGCATACTGGTTTTCTACACGCATCACACAGGAGAGTTTTCTTTTCTTTACAAAAGTCGCAAATCATCTTTGAGGTTAGGAAATGATAAATTGTAAAAATCTATTCAAATGCAGATATCTAATTACATCAAACTGACTTGTTGCTTGAAATTCCTTCTCATCTAACCATTTTCACTAATATTTTCAATAAAACTTTCCTATTACTTCAAAGACAACGTAAATAAAAATCATTTTTATTGAACCGCCGCGGCGGAACACTAGCTTGAAAAAAAGCTTTACCAAGTGTGTCCAGTTGGTAATTTTTTTTTCAGATACTTGGGCTTAATAAGTGAAAAAAAAAAAACATTGCCTTTTCAGGTAGATTTTCACCAACCACTAGAGCAAGCCGAATTTTGAATGCCTAACAACAAGTGATAAAATCCTTGATAGAGACAGTTGACGAGTTCAACAAACCATTGATATTAATACTTGTGGACTTTGAGAAAGCTTTTGACTCAGTCCAGCATAGTTCCATGTTAAAGGCTCTTACAGAGCGCAGTATTGACCATAGATACACAACCTTCTTCAGAATATATAAAATAATGCATCAGCTGCAAGTAGAATGTATCATGGCGAAACCAACAAACTCCCCTTGGAGAAAGGTATTAGACAAGGAGCACCATATCTTCTAAACTATTCACTGCTTTGTTACAAAGCGCCATGAAGAACGACAATTGAGAAAATATCGGAATAAACATCAATGGAGAGTAGGTATCTAAACAATCCAAGGTTTGCAGACGGCAAAGTTCTTATTGCAGACTGGGTAGATCATGCATGTCAGCTTCTCCAGGAACTCACAAGTTCTTGTGCACAAGTTGGCCTTAAAATTAATTTCTTCAAAGCACAATTCGCATAACCAACCTTGTACTGTAAAAAAAACCATGTCAACCTATGGCAAGCAAATAGAACAAGTTGATTCCTATAAATATTTAGGCCACGAGATACCTAAACCACAGAATTGAACAGGAGAATATGTTTCACAAGGGCAGTCTACGGAAAACTGACGGATTTCTCAAAATCAGATATTCCCATGTGCTTGAAGAGGAATGTCTCTGATCAATGTGGCCTTTCAGGTCTAATATATGGAGCAGAAACATTGACTCAAACCAGAAAAGTTGTAAACAAAGTCCAAGTGACACATAGGGCAATGGACAATGTTGAATATATTCCTCAAAGACAAAGTCCCAAATATCATCAGGAAAAGAACCAGGGTTACGGACGTAGTTGAAAGAATTATAACGTTGGAATGAAACTGGGCAAAGTCAGAGATGTGAGATGGACTAGGAATGGAGACCTAGACAAGATTGACGATGCGTATCGTAACCGAGGACGTTCCCCAACAAGATGATCGGACGATATTAAGAGCAACTAGATCAACGGGATGCAAAGCGCTCAAAACCAAAGGCAGTGGAAGGATTCCCCGGAAGACTATGTCCAGTAGTGGACTGATGGCTGATGATGATGATAATGATTATAGTCTAGCAGAGTAATTTGTGCGGCAGAGATTTCCAAAGAGGCGATGAATGTTACTGAATAACAGAAGAAAAAAATAGCAGATCTCCTAATGTAACAACACATTTTTTGATCTATGGGTTTTTTAATAATTGAAAAAAAAAAATCCTATTGTTATTTTATACAATTTTATTCAATTGTTCATCGGGCTTAGGTTATTAAATCATTTCCGAGCTTGAGCAGTAGATACTATTTATTCACAATCACACTCAGTGATAGGCACATTGATTGACTCTAAATTACTAAAAAACAAACAAAGGGTCACGTGAATAACGGTGTAGAACTGACAAATTGATATTGTTCATAGATACCGGTGATGCGAAACCATTTCATAAGAAATCCTATCCGATGTCGCCCTACATGTCTCAAATCTTAAATAAAGAAATTGATGATATGCTCAAGTTTGGTGTAATAAAGCTATCTCATAGTCCTTGGTCATCTCCGGTACTCTTGGTCAAAAAGTCTGGTGGAGAATATAGGTTGCGTGTCGATCTAAGGGGTGTGAATGCTCTCGCTTCGACAGCTACTGCTTTCCTAGAATTGATAGGATTTTGAATTCCTTAAGGAATGCTAAATTTATTCCATCCATCGATCTTCGGAAAGCATTTTGGCTTGGCAAGTTCCACTTAGTGAAGATTCGAGGGATAAAACCTCCTTCAATGTGGTTGGACGAGGTTCATTCAGATTCCAAGTTGTGCCCTTTGGACTATGCAATGCAGCTCAGATGCAGCAGCGGTTGGTCGATGCAATTTTGGTCCCCGTTATGAGCCCTATATTTTTACCTACCTAAACGACATCCTTATCTGCAGTCCAGATTTCGAACATCATACTAGAATCTTGACCAAAGTAAAAAATAAATTGAAAGAGGCTAACCTTACAGTAAACATCGAGAAGTATGAGTTTTTCAAGACATCCCTGAAATTCCTCGGATATGTTGTTGGTTCTAACAGTCTGCGCATAGTTCCTGAGAAGGTTTCTTCGATGGTCAATTATCCTCGACCTAAGACAGCCACCGAAGTGAAACGGTTTGTTGGCATGTGTTCATGGTATAGGCGCTTTGTCAAGGATTTTTCGACTTTGGTATCTCCTATTAATGATTTGTTAAAAGGTCGTC